TCGAACGGGAAAAAAACAGGCCAAGCCACAGTTACTAGTAAGCCACGGTTACTAGTAACCGTGGCCAAGCAAAGGTCATAGCGTCGTAGTGGCGTTCGTGGATTTCACGTGGATTTCCTCAAAAGTACCATTTTGGGTATTTCCATACTTAATAATGTGCTATACACAATTCATATGATAAAATTGAATGAAGTAAGCGTATCTTCAAATATCGATATTAAGCTATAAAAAATAAAAAATAAATAAAAATCAAATCGTCCAGCAAACGATCGGTCTGCGCATTTCACTCGATATACGAGATTTCACAGTGAACGGAAATTCACCTACTATTTCAAAAAGAATATGACTGTGTATGTTGACATTTCTCATACACTGAATAAACACCTATCAAATAATTCTCATTCAACTACATTAACATAAATTAGCATCTAATCTATACTCTATTTCTTTATTTACTATGTGTTTTTTCATCTTGGGTATCGCGTTAAACTGGATTTATTTTGTAATCCCAAAATGGATTTTGCTACTTGCTATTTTTTACAATGGAAATACATTCCTATGAACCATAGACACGTCGCATTGAGTTGTGAGTAACCAGTGACTTCATTCAGGCCGAGATTAATACGGCTGCAAAATATCTTTGTATTCGTTGTTTGTTTGTTTCGGATATATAATATTATATTCATAACTATCCATTTTCGTATATCATTTCCGACATGACATGTGACGTCAGCGCACCCAGAGATTTTGTACTCAACAAGAAAAAAAAAAGACTGACGACGAGACACGGTATCTGTTATTTTGCAACTTAACAATTACACTTCCTGTATTTACATTTTCATTATTTTATGATAATGAAGCTAAATAGTATACCCCGGTTCAATTCCTTGGTTAATCAAAGTTAAAAGAACAGGATTTTGAACATTCTCCGTAAGCGTTGTCGCCCTTTAGTACATGCCATGTATGTATGAATAACATTAACTATAATATTACCTTGCAATAGAGCCCGGACACAACTTATATCCTGCACTACGCAATTTGTATTCCAGTGAATCTTTACTGTCAACAATATTTCAAATTCAGCTAAATTTGTATTTACAAGTGGTGGGGTATATGGGTGCAATCGCCAACTACTTTATCAGTTTTAACCTAAAGTGGCCACATTAAAAAATATAAACATATCTTCCTTGTTATTCGTAGATTGTCTTAACAACACTACATTTTGAATCTCAGGCATGATGGGCAAAGTCACCACCGTTGTACTATGGTTTGCTTTAAATGTTATTAAATGCTGTACTTACAACTGAGGACAAAATGGTGCGTATGTTGCATGTATGCTGACAGCATGAACAACAAACTAGCTAGTCAGTCCTCGGCTGTAGTGTAGTAATGGATATTCCTCCATATATACTGAATTATAAACCAAATTAAAATTTGCTCAGTGAACGGAGTAAAAAAATAGATTGATTGATTGCATGAAGACTCCCCCAAGCACACACGCACACATAAACCACAGAAAATTGAATAAATATAAACTTTCGCAAAACCATCACGAAATGATTGCCATTTAATAGTATCTTGAAGGGAAAAACTGAAGTGAGTTCTAAAAACAGCAACACGTCTTTCATATAAAACACGCCTTCTAGTGGTGAATAATTCTATGACTGGGAGGCCATTCAAACAGTTGATAACGTTTTGATCTGTAGTAGTCCATCAATGAATATTTTTACTAATTTGAACTTCACCCATATACACCAGTTTGACGTCACGGAAGCGTTCTGTCACTAGAGGGCGCGATTTATAGGAACAGTGTAACGCACAAGAAGACATTTTTTTTTGTTTTTATTCTGTGTTACAACAAACACTATACCCACTTGACAACATACATGGTATTACCACACCGAGTCTTCCAATGTAATTTCAGACCATTGACCAGAGTTTTAATATAAATGGGATGCGATGCCCTGAGAAGTTACATCTGTTTACAGTCGATAAACCCCCCAGGTAGACTGTACACAAAATAAGCTGATTAAACCTTGCCACTGTGCAATTCACACAAAACACCACACATAATTGGAGAATATAAGTGAATATCACTGCAGAGAATACGTCATAGATGTCATCGGGTAGTTGTTCTCAGGCAATATGTATCAGTTTGTTTCATAAACAATACAACAATTTTATCATACATAACTCATTAAAAACCAAAAATATTAGTAATCAATCAATCAATCAATCAATCAATCAATCAACCAGGCTTCATTTTTAGCTACAGCCTCAGTAAAGTTAAATGCGAATAACCAAAAGTCTGGATACAACATTTTTTTTTCGACTGATCAAACCATAGGAATTATATGGATAAAAATATAGCTTAAAGATCATAGCGTGGTTAACCTTCTATGTAGATCAATTGGCTTTTTCTTTACAAAATGTTGTTTACAGATAGTGGGTGTTTGCAACGTTGATAAATATAGCATACTGCTAGTGTGAATATTCTAATTTCCCAAACAGTTATACGTTCTCTACATGCATTATATCAACAAATAGTTGTCACAGAGACAAAAGCGTGACTACCACTTTCTTTGTGATATTGGAATTAATTTTCTGATTAGTATGGAGAAGACTGAATGACCTACAGAATAATAGGAAGGTAAACATGATTTATAATCCTTCATTGTTTAGAAGTATAGACCATCACATTGGTGACGAGGTGCAGTATGTACTGGTAGTTGGTTAAATGTAGAGATGATGGACATTGGTGACGAGGTGCAGTATGTACTGGTAGTTGGTTAAATGTAGAGATGATTTACATTGGTGACGAGGTGAAGTATGTACTGGTAGTTGGTTAAATGTAGAGATGATTTACATTGGTGACGAGGTGCAGTATGTACTGGTAGTTGGTTAAATGTAGAGATGATTTACATTGGTGACGAGGTGCAGTATGTACTGGTAGTTGGTTAAATGTAGAGATGATGGACATTGGTGACGAGGTGCAGTATGTACTGGTAGTTGGTTAAATGTAGAGATGATTTACATTGGTGACGAGGTGCAGTATGTACTGGTAGTTGGTTAAATGTAGAGATGATTTACATTGGTGACGAGGTGCAGTATGTACTGGTAGTTGGTTAAATGTAGAGATGATTTACATTGGTGACGAGGTGCAGTATGTACTGGTAGTTGGTTAAATGTAGAGATGATGGACATTGGTGACGAGGTGCAGTATGTACTGGTAGTTGGTTAAATAAAGAGATGATGGACATTGGTGACTAGGTGCAGTATGTACTGGTAGTTGGTTAAATGTAGAGATGATGGACATTGGTGACGAGGTGCAGTATGTACTGGTAGTTGGTTAAATGTAGAGATGATTTACATTGGTGACGAGGTGCAGTATGTACTGGTAGTTGGTTGAATGTAGAGATGGTGGACATTGGTGACTGGGTGCATTATGTACTGGTAGTTGGTTGAATGTAGAGATGGTGGACATTGGTGACTGGGTGCAGTATGTACTGGTAGTTGGTTAAATGTTGAGATGATTGATATTGGTGACTAGGTGCAGTATGTACTGGTAGTTAGTTGAATGTAGAGATGATGGACATTGGTGACTAGGTGCAGTATGTACTGGTAGTTGGTTGAATGTAGAGATGGTGGACATTGGTGACTGGGTGCATTATGTACTGGTAGTTGGTTGAATGTAGAGATGGTGGACATTGGTGACTGGGTGCATTATGTACTGGTAGTTGGTTGAATGTAGAGATGGTGGACATTGGTGACTGGGTGCAGTATGTACTGGTAGTTGGTTAAATGTAGAGATGATGGACATTGGTGACGAGGTGCAGTATGTACTGGTAGTTGGTTAAATGTTGAGATGATTTACATTGGTGACGAGGTGCATTATGTACTGGTAGTTGGTTAAATAAAGAGATGATGGACATTGGTGACTAGGTGCAGTATGTACTGGTAGTTGGTTAAATGTAGAGATGATGGACATTGGTGACGAGGTGCAGTATGTACTGGTAGTTGGTTAAATGTTGAGATGATTTACATTGGTGACGAGGTGCATTATGTACTGGTAGTTGGTTAAATAAAGAGATGATGGACATTGGTGACTAGGTGCAGTATGTACTGGTAGTTGGTTAAATGTTGAGATGATTGATATTGGTGACTAGGTGCAGTATGTACTGGTAGTTGGTTGAATGTAGAGATGGTGGACATTGGTGACGAGGTGCAGTATGAACTGGTAGTTGGTTGAATGTAGAGATGGTGGACATTGGTGACGAGGTGCAGTATGAACTGGTAGTTGGTTAAATGTGGAGATGATTGACATTGGTGACTGAGTGCAGTATGTACTGGTAGTTGGTTGAATGTAGAGATGGTGGACATTGGTGACGAGGTGCAGTATGAACTGGTAGTTGGTTGAATGTAGAGATGATTGACATTGGTGACTAGGTGCAGTATGTACTGGTAGTTGGTTGAATGTAGAGATGGTGGACATTGGTGACGAGGTGCAGTATGAACTGGTAGTTGGTTAAATGTAGAGATAATGGACATTGGTGGCTAGGTGCAGTATGTACTGGTAGTTGGTTAAATGTTGAGATGATTTACATTGGTGACTAGGTGCAGTATGTACTGGTAGTTGGTTAAATGTAGAGATGACGAACATTGGTGACTGAGTGCATCTGATTTTGCTTTTTCTTATTCATCAATTTTTTTATTTGGGGGTCACTTTTGTCCCTCTCATAATTAGAGTTACTAAAAGTGGACATTAAACAACAGTAACAAGTTTTGTTGCTCATAACTCAAAGTTTGTTAAATGTTAATTGAATATTGAGTTACAATATGGGTGTGGTTTAAAAAAAGTGGGCGTGGTTTCAAAAATATGGGCATGGTCAATTTCATAACTCGATGTTTTCATAACTTGATGCTCGTAACTTGATAACCGTAACTCGTACAATCAGCATCTTGTATCCTGCAGGGACTCAACAAATATACAACTAAGCTCATTTTTGCATTTCTATTAATTCAATTTATTCACATAACATCCACAAAATGCTAGTTGATTTACATTAATGTGTTCCACTCATCTACAATGGTTTTTACAATAAAATATGTATTTACTGTTGTCAATATACTGAAAATCAAACACATAAACAACTGAATAAGGAATGATATATCCATGGTTACAAGTCACTATAGTAACACATCTCTCTTCAAGATAGTATATTGAGTCGAGTAATATCACTGCTTAAATCCAGAAAATATAATTTGATATCAATATTATCATTATGATACAATTTTATTATTAGAATTGATTGCATGTGGAAAGTTGATGCAGCGACACACAAAATCACAAACAATGATAGAATATAGATGATGTATTATTGCTATATTAGGAAATTTGATAAAACTTGTACATGTCTGCAGTAATGTGAAGTATAAATACTCACTAGGGTTTATTTTTGCTGACAGCTACGTGTATAAAAAATAAAGCCCAATGAATATGCATAAAGATAGACACAATCTTTTCTGTGAATTTCCAAATCCATCATCAAATCAAATCAAATTGATCATCAAATCAAATCAAATCAAATCAATCATCAAATCTACCGGATTATCATCTACGGTGACTGACAGTGATTGATTGATAAATATAGCACACTGATATGAATATGCTAATTTTTTGAAACATTATTTGACAGTTGTACGCCCCCTCCCCATGCTAAAGAGACCAACAGTTGCAACAGTAACAAAATGTGGGACCATCGCATTATTCATGACAATGCAATAAGACAAATCTTAGTAGCAAGTCTTGACAACAGTGGAAAGTAGCAGAGTCTGATTCCCTGGCTTGCTAAAATTAAACTCAGAATATTCTCCAGTTGAAATTAATTGTTTTGTTTTGGGGGAGTGAGTGAGGATATCAACTTTAGTTTTATAATAAAATAATCTGAAATTAAAATAGTTTATTTTAAAAATCTGGAAATGTTACAGATAAAACTGTTAAAGAGTTGTGTTGTTTCGACTGCCTCATTTGTAAAACAGCAAATCATCACTCTATGCGGAGAATCTCACAAAATACAATAAATCATATTTTTATCTTTAATTCACTCAATATTCAACCGTTACTGATTTCGTCTTAAGATATTCATTCAGTGCTTCTTGACCTAGAATGAAACAAAATAAAACAAATAATTGTATTACACGAGTTACAAGTTTAAGAAATATGAATGACATGAACAGTCAGAGAATGTCAGAGATATGGCTCCAAAACTACATTGACTAAAACAAAAAGGCCACTGGTCAGCCACTTTTGAGTCAGATATGGCAAACAAAGTGACAGCTTTAAGATCTTATATAGCTCAATGTACATAACAAGTTTGAATAAAACCTGTCTATGCATGACAAATCTATACCAAGAATTGCAGAAATGCTTGATTTTGATGACATTTTAACATTAAAATGGCCACCCTTATATATACATATTTAAATATGACCGGTCAAGGCATGTCAGAGACACACACATGCTATGGAATAGCATTTGTTAAAAATAATGACCACCATTCAGCCATTTTGTAACCAATCGGAAAAATCAAATCTGAAATGACATGTATCTCATTACGTTCGATGTATGTACCAAGTTCGAATTAAATCTGCCTATACAAGGCCGAGATCTGGCTCTGAAAATATGCCAGAAATGCTTGATTTTTGTGTCATTCAGCCATATATTGAATCAGATCGTGAAACGAATGGACATGCATATGTTCAACAATTTCCTGAAATTTTGTCTTCACAAATGTTTAACAATCTTGAAATCACAACAATTTTTAGCAGTGAAAATTTCTCTGGGTTTCTACAACAGAGTGACAGACAATCTCACAAAATTTTGTCTTCAAATATCTTGAATTTCTAGCAGCAAAAAACGCTTTACAGGATTGAATATCCTCATCTTATAAATCACTGAAATTATTATTATGGTTTTATTTCAGACATACTCCATATATAAATAAAGAAAAAAAATGTTTACACGTGGTTGCAGGTGACATCTTATTTGCTGGTGTTAAAGAGTAAAGCGACAACGTAGACAACGTAGACAAGTGTGAAATTCTCTTAACTAACTCATAAAGAATGAGTGATGCATTCAACCTTTAATGCATTAGAGAGATGAAACACTGTTTTGGGAATTCATTTGCATCTACCTTAACCACTGAAGCGTAGAGTTTAAATCAAATTTGACAACTATGTATTAACCTTCCGATATAAAAGATAGCACAACAAGATAAAAGATACGCAGGTATTTACAATGTGTTTACTAAGTATTCCCACATAATAGTGCTTGTCATGGTTACAAGATGATACTACAAATAAAACTGTCGTAATCAAAAACAATGGTACAGCGAAAAAAACAGATCAAATAAGAACTACACGGAAAGACGAATACATTTTTAACTGCATAATTTTGGGGTGATTTTTCGATGATTTGTTGTGAATTATAAGGGAGTTTATTGTCTAACTACTTCAATGCAACAAGTTATACTTATGCCTGTTGCTATTTTAGTTTAAATTTACTTTTTTATTAACGTAATGGTTTAGAGACATTATTTGAAACAGATTATATTCTCAAATATGCATAAACACATATAGTCTTTATTTTAGGTGGAATTCATTTTCACTGAAAAGACTTTTTGGTGTTTTGTATGGAATTCATTTTCACTGATTTTTGACAAGTTGAATGCAAAATATAGAAAAACAGGTATATTCGCTGGATTTTATTTTCACTGATTTTTTTCCTTCAGCGAAAATTGCGAAAATTAATTTTGGGTTTGAATCGTAATTTTGACAACATGCAATCTCTCACAAATCTCCTACAAAGAGAATATCATTTTTAATATCATGGAAGGCCACTCACAACAGCAGTTAAAAGCATCCCAACCCCCAACCCCCCCCATTTCAATAAAGTGCAAAATGGTAATACTGTTATAAACAAAGTCCTACACATGATGAAGTACAGTCATTAAAAGTTAATGCAGTTCTTTCATTTTTATGTCTCATTTGTCATTTTTATAGTGCAGGTGTACAACATTTATACTATTAAAGCGTTCTTTTGTCGGTAATTTATGTTTGGCCATCTTTGAACACGTCTGACCGACATCCAACAATACACACAAGTATTATTAAGAACCAGTGTATATTTAAATTCACTGACATTGTGGAAAACAAAAACCAAAATTCTCAGGTGGAACTGGCCATTCATTAGGATTACATTGCATTATGGGAAAGTAATGCTCTGTTTGAACCTTAGGGTAACACAATGCATTGTGGGATATCACTGCCAATGTTGTGTAACATGTTGAATTTTACGTCCAGCTAATTCATGAAATAAATATTGTAGAATTTCAACTGGGTAAAAGTAAAAAAAAAAAAAAGGTTCACCAATGATAATTTAATATATGTTTTGATAACTCACTAAATTTCTACCCAAAGAATTTCTTGAAACAATACATAATTTGAATTTTTTGAAACAATTTGATACATAATTTGAATTGGAACAATTTGACACATTATTTGAATGAATTTCTTGAAACAATTTAGCACATAATTTGAATTTCTTGGAATAAATAAGAGAGTGTGGAAGATGCATCAAATTAATGTTTTAGTGTAACCATAGCAACCATGTTGAATTTCCATAGTACCAACTACAGTGTCACCCACTTCTACCTGTACACAGGAAATGCATAAAAATAAAACCAAGTGATCCATTTATTTTACAAGCATACAAGTAATAGCTTTAGGCATTAGAATTCACCCTCATTGCCCCAAAAAACGTCAGTAATATTTTGCTAAATTAAAACAGTATTGAACCGCAAAGACGATGGGAAATTCTGAAAATTGGAATTCTGAATAATAATTCTGATCAAATCACCCTATCGATCAAAAGACTGCGATGATAATAGTAACAAGAGAGATTGATGGAGTTATTAGCAAAGATTCTTTGGTTAATGAGATCTAAGGTACGTCACAGACACTCAACTAGACAGACAAGAAGATTAATTGCAACCAGAAACATATGAAACAGGTGTCGGGTATATTTATACCGTGGCAGCTCAGACAAGCAGTTATACGAATAATAGACAAGAAACGTATCCTCCAGCACTTTTTTATTTTATTGTGTGATTTATTGATCATGAGGGATACATGTACCTAGTTTGAATCAGAACAATGTCTATACTTGGAGGTAATGTATATACGAGAGGAAATGTATTCATCTTTCAGTTCACAAGATTATGTCACATTTTACGGGTTCATGGAAGAAAGACGAGTCAGATGCAGCTATAGATACAGCCATAATATATTACATGTAGTCATCAGTATGCATTATCATGAGTAATAGAACATTTGTGAGTTTGCACACCTATAAAGTGCACAATTCTGTTGTGGTTTCCAACAATTAGTATTCCTTTGATCACTTCAGTACCCTCTGGCATACTAAATACTTTCAACTAGTATGCGTCTCACTGTATCTTTATAGTGGTAATTCTTTTTAGAATTTCAAGAGATTAATTGTAAAGTGTACTTGTATGATTAAAATCAAACCCTCCATGAACTTGAAAACCTGTTTATACCAAAAGTGAAACCTGTCTATACTCATGTGTGTACTGGAAATTGTCTAAAATGAAACGTCTCCAAACTGAGAATCATTAACTTTGAAAAGGGACAGGTGAGACCCTGTGCTGCAATGTATAGTATTTTATATTTTAAACACACGTGGTAAACGCATCTGATTAAGTTAATTTGGTTTGCATTTTTTTTATTTTCGAAGTGAATCTCTAGCATTCATTTTGTTGTGTTACGCAGTTGAACTTCCACACTGACTTTTGACTGTATATACATCATATTTAGTTGCAGTTAGATGGACATTAACAGTTATATTGAGTTGTGTCACATTGTTTGGGGAACCCATTACTATGCTAGTTAGATGTGACGCTTGACCTCAAGACTGAGGAGAACACAGAGTTTCACAACTCACTAAAACAAGCCTCTCACATACTTAAAGTAGTTCATATTAATGTTGTTTTTATAACAACGATGAGAACTAATTCAGCAGTTTGCACCAAAAGCAACATGATATATGATACTTTTCAATACTCATACAGACAAACATTACTCTGATATGCACTGACAGATTTCTGTCAGACTTGCTTCCACTATTTTGTGATAAGATGCAAACAGAGAAAAAATGCTCCTTGACTAAATTTACTGCGGGTTTAACTTCGAAACCAGAGAAAAAATATAATTTTAAAAATAATTAGTATGTTAGTAACAAAGAAAACACTCACCTAAATCTTTGCCAAATCCAGATTGTTTGAAACCACCAAATGGAGCTGCCACATCAGTCTTGTTGTAACAATTCATAAAGACAGTACCAGCATCAAGTTTATCCGCACAGTACAAGGCTTTACTCATATCTTTAGTGAAGACACCGGAAGCTAGACCATACTCTGTAGCATTGGCACTCTTTAAAACATTATCAACATCACTGGTGGATGGAAATAAACACGATACATCAAAAAAGAAATCAAATGATGGAAATATAAATATCAACAATCACTCCGGTTCGCTGTTGACAATTGCCTGACACAACTTTTTTTAAAACTTCTAGAGTGTAGTAAATTCACATTTTATTGTACTTGTGAGATGACCCTTGACTCTATCATAGTTAGTCAGTTGAGACACCCCTAACTAGTCTGCGTCTTAACCTTTTTACCACCAGACTTTCTTCTCAGCCACATTTTCTGCACTTTTTTCTATATTCTACAATATTTCTGGAAATGAACCCTAATTTTTAAAGCTAACAGAAAAAACTTGAGTCAATTTACAGTTTTTAATCGAAAATTATTGCCATTTTTGTCCCAATCTTCTGAAAGAAAGTGCAGTCTATAAACAGGACCATGTTATGAAAGGAGGGAACTGGTGGTGAAAAAGTTAAGATAGCTGCCACGTTGTAAGCATCATAGTCAAAATAAACCTGTTACTGCCTTGTGTTTCTTATGTGGATACCATTGAACACCATCATTTTCCACACATTTTTCTATAAATTTTTTTTGATAATTTTGAACAAATGGACAGAATTTCATATTGGATGCAAGTCTTGATCAAAACGTTTATGAAAACTCATATTTTGTGAAAAGTGACAAAAGTTGACTTTGGCACTGAAAGGTTTAAAATGTTTGGGTGGCAGGGTATTCGATGTAAATTTTACATGCATGTTCAGAACAAAAAGCTAGATGAGTTTATGATATTATGTTAAGTATTATATAAATATCTTTAAATAGTGCTACACTTTAAGTTAAGTGAAAAAATTATTCAATATGACCTACCCATTCTTGAACTTTGAAATGATCATAATAGGACCAAATGATTCTTCCTTTGCAAGCATCATGTGGTCTTCAACATTGGTAAATACTGTGGGCATCAAAAATAGACCTAGAAATGGAAAAACAAAATACAAATGATTATGATTGATAGAGGGCGCCAAACAAAAGTGATAACAAAAAAATTCACTACATTGACAGGGGGTGCTCAAGTGTTATTCGACTTGGCCAAAAATGTGTGATTAAAATAAATAAACCTGAACTAAGTAGTGTTTGTGTGTATTTACTATAAACACATATGAACAAAGCAATAATAATTATTAAAACAATGATATTAAAGGATATTTTAAAAGAAATAGTTTCTGTATTTGTTTTTCAGCTGCACCCCAAATACTAATTGATTACAGTTACCTGGCCTATCTACTTGTTTACCACCATAGGCTAGCGTTGCACCTTCTTTCACACCAATATCACAATATTCTAATAGTTTTTCCATATGTGCTCGATGATTTTGTGGACCATGTGATGTAGATCTGTCTAATGGGTCACCAATTTTCATCTTTTTGATTTCTTCAATCTATCAAATAAAAATAATAATTATTATTATTACAATAAGCACTCAAAATTTTCAAAATCACCACATGACCAGTTCCTATTACATGACCACTTCCCATCACGTGACCACTTCCCATCATGTGACCAGTTCCTATTACATGACCACTTCCCATCACGTGACCACTTCCCATCACGTGACCACTTCCCATCACGTGACCACTTCCCATCACGTGACCACTTCCCATCACGTGACCACTTCCCACCACGTGACCAGTTCACACCACGTGACCACTTCCCATCACGTGACTAGTTCCCATCACGTGACCAGTTCCCACCACGTGACCACTTCCCATCATGTGACCACTTCCCACCACATGACCACTTCCCCTCACGTGACCAGTTCCCATCACGTGACCACTTCCCACCACGTGACCACTTCCCATTACCTGACCTGACCAGTTCACATCACATGACAAGTTTCAATTCATACCACATTGTTAGTAAACTTCAGTTTTACATACAAAACTTAAACAACACATTACACAGTCACGACTGTTTTAACAGACTCAATGAGATACTTACAACTTTCTCTACAAATTCATCATGAATGGACTCTTCCACGAAGAGACGACCAGCTGCAATACAGTTCTCACCTTTGTTGAAAAACACAGCACCACAACCCTATATAAAAATAGAAAATGAATAAAATTAAAATAATTAAATATATTTTCATAATAACCAGCTCATCAGTATACTGAGAAGACCTGTGTATGTATCTGAAAAGACACCACCGTCCCAGGCACGTAAACTCAATGGTCATCATATGCATAGAATAAATTATAATGAATCAAAAAATGCTTACATTTCGGACAGCTTTGTCTAAATCACAATCATTAAAGATGAGTAAAGGTGATTTACCACCCAATTCCAGTGAGACTTTCTTCAGATTGGCAAGTGCACAACTGTAAACAAAAACATAAAATGAGATACTAGTAGTCAACCTGTAACAGCGCCCTCTTGAGGTCATTTTTCGTGGATTACAATTATTTTGTTGAAAGAGTCAGTATTACTCCTAACCACTAGTCAATTGACATTTTTTTGACAAGAAAAGCTAAAAGTGAGTTTCCTCAATTACTAGAATTAAACAGGATTTTTTATTTTTTTTTTTATTTGGAAGACTACAGTAATTCATTTTAAGTTATCCCAAACATTAAAGTCCTCATCTGATAGAACAACATTCTCCCAAACACAATGCTAGGATGGTGATTGGTGGTCAGAAACATATGTACTGTAAATGTATACCAGTACTTCAATTAGCTGAGGGATTGCTAATCCCATTTATGCGGTTCTCACGCTGAATATTCCAAAGAAAGCTCCGTTACAGCCCCATCACACAATTGTGACTAAGAGTGGACCTACTTTTTTGAGTTTGACAGCATTTCCATGGCTATTCCATGGCTTTCAATTTTGCTGAATTGAGAAAATAATTTTATATAAAATAAATGATTCAATAAAAAACACAACTATGAGTTATATAGTGTATTAGAAAAAACAAGCACTCTTTCGGATTGAGGTGTCGTCTGTGGCAGAGACTGATTCTGGAGCCTCAACCATGCCACCACACCATGGCAGAAATCAGTCAAGACTAGGATAATGACACTGTTCTGCAGACAGAATGTAACTAATAATTACCAATATGATTCAAATATTGATACATTGAAACTGAATGCAATATACAACACCTGTCAATTGGCAAGTACCATTGTTTCACATATGACTTTTGTAGATGAAGAAATTACCATGATATAAATTTGATAGAATTTGGACCATAAACCATAATATGATAATATTAAATAAACTATAATATGATAATATTAAATAAACCATAATATGATAATATTAAATAAACCATAATATGATAATATTAAATAAACCATAATATGATAATGCACAATAATGTTCTGCCTAAGCACTCATTGTATTAAAATGAATTAACAAATTAATAATATTAACAAAAATGTCAGTATTTTGTTTTTTTAAGGAAATAAATTTCATGAAAAACAAAAAAGAATTAAAAACCATGACACAAATTCTGAGTGATGTTGAGACAACAGTAACGACTGTCAATAATCCTTTTTTACAGTACACAGCTTTAATGACAGTATCAAATGGGGTTGTTTATCGAAGCATGACAGTGTAAAGGAAGTTAAGTCTCATACCTTTTCATGATATGTTTACCAATGGGAGTAGAGCCAGTAAAACCTAGCTTTCGAATATCTGGATGGTCTGACATTGCTTGACCGACAACAGCACCTACAAAAACATTTAATATTGAATAAAATAAGCTATACTGATTTGTCTTAGTTTTCATTCATTCACATTTTTTCACTAAAATTGAATTTTATTATTAAGGGTAGGCAGTAAATCTGAGCTTGGACCAAACAAAAACTCCTCGTTTATCAGACTTGCTCACATGTCTCAGTTCACATTTTGGAATATTTATTTGCCCTCCAAAAAATCACTTGACCGTTGGTTTTGTTCATCATTTATAGAACATTCAAAATGAATATAAGGGTTTGAACTTTTTGAAAAAGAAAAATCGGATGAACAGGAAATATTTGGGTCTGACATAAATTTAAAAGTAATTCCATTATAGCTGTGTATTGATTTTTCCTTATTTCAATGATCAGTAACGTCCACTGAAATGTTCGTTTCGTGTTGGGGATTCAGAGAATGCTGAATTTTAATGTTATCAATAGCATAAATAAGTTAAATCATAAATCATTATTTGCTTAAAAAAATATTAAAAAATATTATAGTAAACATATAAAATTACAGCGGATACCAAAATCAACTGATCAGAAAATCCATTATCTACGCATTAATCTGTTATAAAACATTGCAATATTCACAGGGAAATTGCCTGCAGTGTTGATTTGACTTTGCCACTTTTAGTCCCAACAAGCCATTGCTCCTGGACATAATTATTTTCATGAGCAATAATGTAACCAAGAGTGCAGCTAAAACTGATTCAAACACAGTAAGCGGGTCTAACCATTTTGAAATGAGATTGAGTGATAGTCAAGTGAAATATGAAAACGTTGATTTTTTTTATTCCTACAAGGATTCTACACCTGAACACTTGAATTATTATTTGATCACAAGCGTACAATTTAATTTCAAATTCGAGGAGCCCCTATCAAATACAGTGGGACTTCCGATATGGAAGTAAGTGTTCTTAATTGCTAACTGGCAAAATCCAAAGAAATATCGCTAGTAATGTTCCTAGGAATATTACAATATTGCATGAAATATTGATAGGAAGAAGACAGTATTCACGATCAGTTTATTTTGGCGCATACTGTAATCAGAAATAAATACTTTTACAATACTTAATTAGTTGCTTACATAGAAAATCGTTTGTAATTTTAAAATGTACTGTTGGCATGCCAACGAAAGAAATTCTTAGGAATTAGAACTTTTTTTTTCTGAGAAATAAAGTGGTATTTCTCCACTTTCATGTTACAGAATAAGATTTATTTTTCTATTCTGTGACAGAAAAATGTTGAGAAGCCGAAAACATCGCCATGACAAATACAAGTAACGGTAACGATGACATATACATACCAGAACCAGGAAGGATGTTGATTACGCCGGGTGGGAATCCAGCTTTGACTGACAGTTCAGCAAATTTAAGAGCCGTTAATGGTGTAACTTGGGCTGGTTTGAGAACCACTGTATTACCAGCAGCGATGCAAGCTGCCATTTTCCATGCGAGCATCATCAATGGATAATTCCATGGAATGACAATAGCACATACGCTGTCAACAAAATACATACTATTAGTCACATTAATTGAGGTTATTATGAGGATACCTCAAAGTATTCACGAAGACAGTACAGTGGGAGTATCGACCGTCGCGCATCATGGGAATGCCGAAATCCAAAAAATTTAGAACAGAATCAGCAAACTTTTTTGTATGGAGTCTGGTCAAACCCTAGTGGTAGCCATGTTTGTTTTTATTAATAGTGAACACTTACACACTTAATCATTCCATATTTGGAATTCGCATTTCCTAATATGGTAGGATGAAAATACCCCGTAAAATACGGCAAAATTACGGCACGCTGTAACTTATGGTGTTACGGTGTCAGATGTATAATATAAGGTTATTACGCAGATACCTCAAAGTATGCACGAAGACAGTACAGCGGCAGTATCGACCGACACACAGCGGAGGTTGATGCGACAGCGTACTGTCTGAGTGCATACTTTGAGGTATCTTCGTAATAACCTTATTATTATACATCTTTTCCTTCCAAGGATACATCATGGGAATGCCGAAATTCAAAATGTTTAGAACAGAATCAGCGAACTTATTTGACGTGTGCGGAGTACGGTCAAATCCTGGTGGCAGCCATGTTTGTTTTTATTATTAGAGGACGCTTACGCGCGTAATCATTCCATATTTGGAATTCGCATTTCCTAATATGGTAGTATGAAAATACCCCGTAAAATACCGCAAAAGTACGGCACGCTGTAACGTATGGCGTTACGGTGACAGATGTATAATAATAATATTTATTATGAGGTCATTATAAAAACTTACCCTAATGGTTCTCTTTTAGTAAAAGTCAGATTTCTATTTGGTCTAGCATTGTTGATTGGAATTGTTGTACCCTGCAGAGAAAAATGTAAAGAATATTATTATATTATGCTCACGTAACCTATCCCAGACAGTGTAACTACAAAAACTCAAGTGACTGTTATTTTCAGTTGATCTATATCAGATATATTTGAATTTGACCTTAGTACTGTGAACAGCAGCCAATCACATTTATCAATATATATAATTGAATTACATGACCATATTTGTCACATAGAATGTAATTATTGTCTGTGCCCGCAGATAAACACAAATTACAATATTTTCTCTCTGAATTAAACAATAAGGTTTTGACTTATAATCAATTAGCAAAACTTTAGATGAAGATACAATTATCAAGTTATCTATTATCTTATCCTCATTTTGATACAATTATCAAGTTATCCATTGTCTTATCCTCATTTTGATACAATTATCAAGTTATCCATTCTCTTATCCTCATTTTGATACAGTTATCAAGTTATCCATTATCTTATCCTCATTTTGATACAATTATCAAGTTATCTATTGTCTTATCCTCATTTTGATAATAATGCGATACCTAACAGTTTACAGTTACATTTTACATGTGACACTGAGGGCGCTGTTTCAAATTATGATGTCATACTAAACAACACAGTTTCAATTGATAACATAATGAAGGATTTATACAAGTACTATAAACATGTTCTTGCATATTTCTGTACCGGAATGATTACTGTACACATTATATTTAATTTAATCTGCAATCAGAGAATGAAATGATACATTACCTGAATCTTGTCACACCATCCAGCAAAGTACCTGAATGTATCAATAGACATTCCCACATGAGTTTTCAGTGCTAGTGTGTACACAGCACCAGAGTCAATACTTTCTAATGTAGCTAATTCTTCTTTATGTTCATCCATTATATCAGCTAATCTGAAAGATAATATCACTGTATGTTATCTCGGTTTACAATTGCCATTTTGAAGAAACACTTCAAGCAAAAAATATTTTATCTCCTTTTTTTCATTGGCAGATAATGCTCATAACTTTAGCAGCAACTGTCTTAACAAAATATATATTTTTTTAAAAACTAAGAAAAACTAATTATATTTTGTTTAATTACAGTTAACTTTTCAGAATCCCAAAAATGTACAGGATTATTTTACAATTTCAACATTACCTGTACATGAGTGTTCCTCTATCTCTTGCATTCATTTTACCCCATTCACCCTCTTCAAAGGCAGCCTAGAAACAAAGCAATGCATCATGGTCAATATAAAGAATGACATGATGTATTTGACAAAAAACTTATCAATTATCAATGCCACTAATTCAAACAAATATTGCAAGTTGTGCTGTTACACATAAATAACTACATCCAATACAGCGCCCTCTACCAATACATTGTCACAGATGTCAAATTTCTGGTTTCTATGACAATTAGCTGATAGATGTAGATTTCAAGTCTGTTATATTTATCAAACCATTGTAATACCAATTTTAGTATCAGTAACAAATGTTTAATTTTCCATTTCAGTTTTTTTTTATATTGCATAATGTAAATGTTCTGATTTGATCACTTGAGGTCTTTTAAGATGACTAAATCCCCAAGTATTCATTCGAACACTTGCCAACATATTTGTAATTTATGTATTGAGTGCATACACTACTAATAAGGGAAAATACAGTTGTGAATAAATTTCAGGGATCCAGCATACCACACATGCAACTGTTTGGGTCATGTACATGGAGATGTACTTCGAATAGAATAAATATGGTATATGGTCAAAATTGAATATGGTCATATTTAAATGATCATGCATACAAGAAATGCACTTGATTTTATTTATGCTTTTAATAGAACAAATCATATAGCCTATGAACAAATACATTTATACCATTAGCCATAGCAACTTGAGAATATTGTACACTCACTTTTGCTGCTTTGACTGCAATATCCACATCAGGTCCAGATCCCTTTGCTACTTTGCATATGACGGATTCATCACAGGGATTTATCGTGTCAAATGTTTTGCCATCGTGCGCATCTACAAATTTATTATTTATAAAAAGTTGATGTGGAAATTTCAAATTCATATTATTTACATCCATTTCCACCTGGAATTGAAAAAATAAATTAGTATTTTTGATAACTTACATTTTTATGTAACTAGTGTAAAATTCTCCACTCCTGATGTATACTGTAAAACACTTTATTTTTGCTTGGAATTTATTCAGCTATTTTCGCTGATTTCTTTTTTTCTATATTTTACATTCAACTCAAAAATCAGTGAAAATAAATTCCATAAAAAACACTCAAAATGTCTTTTTAGCGAATATTGAATATTGAATTCCAGCTAAAATAAAGTATTTTACAGTATAACTTATTTGTGTGGTTGAAAATAGAAACAACAACGATAAAAATTCTCAAAATCAAGTTCGCTGCAAGATAACTGAAATCAGAAGTTCAAAGTGAGTTGAATGAACTTTCCTAACAGATAAGGAATTTTAAAAAACAATCAGATATTGATAAACAGGTCAGTGTGACCTTAAGTGTCAGTGTGACACAAGTCAGTCATATTGATGACATGTCAAACTTGAAAAGGACAAGGTCATACTAGCAGGCAGTCTTTGTACACACTAAGGACTCTGAGAAAGCTCCATGTTATAGATAAATGTGAAGGATTGTAGACAAAGGCTGCAGATACTTTGATAACATTGATACCACAAAGTATCCATGGAGACAGTTCAGTGATCCTATCAACCAACACATATCTGAAGTTTGTGTGTTTTTGTGTATACTTTGAGGAATTTTCATGATAAACTTACTATATGCCTTTTTCTTGTAATAATAATATAACAAGAGGTACATGTAGCAGCCCAAAATGACAACGAAAAACGTTTTGTACTGTGCTAATGTTTACATTCAGTGACAGAATTCTATTTCTGCATGTGTTATAGAACTTCACCCTCCAATGTAAACAAAAGAAAGTACAATATAAACAAAATTTGTCAGTGTCAGATATATAATAATTAACAATATTTTGAAGCAAAGTATTTTATCAGTTGTTTTAATTTTACAACATCCAGAGCAATCTCAATAACAAAATCATAGTGGTTTTCACTGTGAAATCAACGATATTGGTACATGAAACCAAAGTCAGGGTTGCATACTAAATATTTGTACTGTAAAATACTTTAATTTTTTGTATGAAGTTTATTTTCACAGATTCTATACTGTTGATACACCCCTTCAGCGAAATGCGAAAATAAATTTTACAGTAACTCATTTTTTTTCAACAAATGTGTAAATTGGTCAGTGTGTTCATACTTACTGCATCATAAGTAAATTCTTCTTCTCCTTCACCTCGTCCCTTTCTTACGACTAACTGAACAAACTCATCATAAGTTGTAGCCATATATACATCTTCATTTTGTAGTTTAATACCGTTACATTTCTGTTGGACTTCTTCTACTAACCTAATGGAATAAAACAAATACAGGAAAATAAAGGCAACTGTATGAAAATAGATAACAATTACTATATATAAAATTTGTAGTCGGTAATCCAGGGGTCAAAATTAAGGCTGGCCCATTCGTCTCAAACAAGTAATTTGGCTGACTTGCATAGATGTGAATGCAACTCTGACTGCATCCTACGCTTAATTACCATACCCTCTTACATACCTTGCAACATCCATGGAGCCAGCTCCCATTTTGAAGAAATCTGTTTCAGCTGTAATATTATCATTACTCAAAATACCAGCCCAAACAGCCTGTCATGTGCAAAAAAGGAAAATATGTATTAAAGTATTTATTATCTGTGATGAATTATAAAGCCATGAGTGAAATTATTTTGACAATCGAAAGATAACTTGTCGTTCCCCCAAATCAGGATGTGACACACAGATGCACGGAAGGCATTAGATACAGAAATATCAACATCCAAGATACTGTTTTTATTTTCCACAGAATGCATTCATGAGCAAGAATGTCTTAGTATAATAAGAATATGACTCCTAATTAACGCCAATGCACATTCCTAGGTCTCCCTGACCTCTACAATAAATGCCTAGAATGGATGATTGGTTTGGCTTTTTAGCCATGCAATGTACTCAATGGTCACATATTACCGTAGTTGTCCGAGTATACCCCCAGCAAACGTCAATTTGACAAAAATTTGAGGGGGGGGGGGGGCTTATAAACGGAAAAGTTAAAACTTCTCCCGAGCAATAATTTATGCTAATTTATTCATAAACAAATCATCGTGTGTACATGAGTGTCTTCATCGACTAGCATCAACCAAATTAACTTGACGATTGGCCGCTACGCCCCAGGGTTCTTAGTGTATTTACTAAGTGGAACAGCATTCAACCCTGCGTTTCACAGGAATATTCGTCTGTACGTTTTGGGGTAACGAAAGTATATTCTAAACAAAGTTTCAAATAAAAACTAACACAACTGCATTGCGTAGCAGCAAATGATCACGGTTGCGCAATCCGGTCATGCTGCGTTTCACAACTGTTGATTATTACTCAGTAGTGATTATAATAACTACAAAAAAATAAATTCGTTGAATTGTTATGAAATGCAAATAAAATTCTATTTAGTTTAATTGTAAGCAAATGATTGTGGTCACATATAAATATCTGCCATGTTCTTTCTCTTGCAGAGTTAACCTGATAGGTTAAACCGCTAATTAACCAATCAAAATGCTTGATGATGCCAACGTGTTCAAATTACCATAGCTTATTTAACACATAATTTTTTTTCTGACATGACAATTGAAGCACATTTGGGAGGTTCAGGATTAAATATGTTAATGTTATTGAATGCAAAGCGGAAGAGATTTTCCGATGTTGTAGTACGATCTTTTGGCTTGGATTTTGATAGGAAAACGGTATGATTTTTTTTTTTCAAATCAAAAAATAGTTGTTTTCAAAAGATAAACTGAGCATTAGAAGAATCGAATAAATAACTTGTTGTAAAATGCTGTAAATTTGGAGGGGGGCTTATACTCGAACAGGGGTTTATACTCAGGGGAAAACTACGGTGTGGGCTGTCTAATCTCACCAATTGGAAGTAAAATACTTTCTGTTCATTGGTCAGTTTAACATAACATGAGCTCCACAAACGTAGGAGAATGAAATTTATAGTTTTTATATCACTTTTCATGATGTAGATATTCAACTTTTCATCAGTATTATGTAGTCCACCATCTTGTTTCTCCAGCAAAGGATTATGGGTGAAGCATGACATCACAGCAACTGTTGTGAAAAATAATACTGATGAAAAGATGAATATCTAGAGAATGAAAAAGAGAATAACAAACTGTGAATCGCATTCTCTCACATGTGTGGAGCTCTTTTATATAGAAGGATTGGGTTGATTGCTTTATTACCTTGATTGCAGCAGCCATGGCTTCTTCTTCCGGTGTAAGTTCTACCTTTTCCATTGCTTCAGCTGCTTGACCGTATCTACTGGCTTGCACCATTTTGCCATCTTCACATAATAGAGTCTTTACATTCAACTGTGCATGCAAACATAGACACATATTTAGAATCAATGATTAGTTTTTACACAATCACAATTCGTATTTGGTGAGGTCATGTATGCAAATGAATGTAATTCAAAAACAACTTTTTGTAAGGAAAGTCATGGTTGTATTTCAAAGTGTTTTATATGATATATTTATATAATATACGAGTGGAATTTTAGCAAAAACCAACCTGCAAGAGTACCAGCGGGATTGAATCTGTTACTGGGGCATTCAACTAATCACACAGTTTAATACTTGATTTTAAAAATAAGACAACTTGATCTTTCAATTATTTTGGATAATTAATTCATTGGCTCCATGTGGAAAATAATATTTACATTGCTGTTTATGGGGAGTTCAATTGTAGTACATGTATGAGACTTTATAAATGTAGTGTAAAACTAGTTTTCAAAGCAACTTTATAGAAAATAAATCTTGCTATAATATTGTGATATAAAAATAAAAAAAATATTCAAGTAAGTAAAAAAAACATTTTAACCCTATATTTTACGGCCCCCTTCCTATCTAAATGATCCATCCATTAGCTCAGAATAAATGGCAATGTAAATAAACACTCAAGACTCATTACTACAATGACTCACTATAAAACCAACTACAAGTAATTAATACCAATTTTCACAACAATTTCCATGTAAATATTTAATCAAATTATCAGGCAGACCTACCTTCTTTCCATCGTTTCCGTATAATACAAGACCATCTTTATGAATAATTCCAGGCTTACTCATTCCTGGAATTTCTAAAGCAGATCCCTCTGGATCAGATCCGTCAAATAATGAAGAACCATAAAATGTTAGTTGCTGAAAAAAAAATTAATAAAAGTTACCCGACATTCAAAGAGATGGTTACCCGAGGTTCAAAGAGATGGTTACCCGACGTTCAAAGAGATGGTTACCCGACGTTCAAAGAGATGGTCACCCGACGTTCAAAGAGATGTTCACCCGACGTTCAAAGAGATGTTCACCCGACGTTCAAAGAGAGGGTCACCCGACGTTCAAAGAGAGGGTCACCCGACGTTCAAAGAGAGGGTCACCCGACGTTCAAAGAGAGGGTCACCCGACGTTCAAAGAGAGGGTCACCCGATGTTCAAAGAGAGGGTCACCCGACGTTCAGAGAGGGTCACCCGACGTTCAGAGAGAGGGTCACCCGACGTTCAAAGAGAGGGTCACCCGACGTTCAAAGAGAGGGTCACCCGACATTCAAAGAGATGGTCACCCGACATTCAAAGAGATGGTCACCCGACGTTCAAAGAGATGGTCACCCGACGTTCAAAGAGATGGTCACCTGACATTCAAAGAGATGGTCACCTGACATTCAAAGAGATGGTCAACTGACATTCAAAGAGATGGTCACCTGACATTCAAAGAAACAGTCACCTGACTTTCAATAAGATGGTCGTCTGACATTCGGTTAAACTTGATTTACCGATAGTATCAGTCTTCTTGATATTTAAATATCCTTGAATATTTTAGATTAAACTACAAATGGCTTACCTGTCCATCAACAGTACTCCATGCACCAGGCTGTTTGTCATTGCCACGAATAAAGTTATGTAGTACTTCTGCTGGTTGATTCCAATTGATCTTAATAAAGGTAAATAAATAAATAATTTAGACAAAATATTCTGAATGGACAATAATATCAAGATTCTATAAAAGAATTGTCATTGGCTTTGGATGGATATTTTTAGATAACCTAAAATTCAGTCAGTCAGTTTTCTCTTTTTAGTTTTCTAAGCATCATAAAACCAATATGGGAGCATAAAGATCAAGTGATGTATCCATGACGACCATCATCCATTATAAGTTTCTTGTATTAAACACAGCTTACCTCTGCAACTGATTTCTTCTTCCATATTTTATCATATGTGGCACCTTCTTCAGACTGTGCTATTCTTGGGGCTTTTCCTTCATGTATCAAGTCCACTGCTTCCCCCTAATAGAGAATACACATGTCAAGTTATGTCTGCATCTTCTGCACCCACTAACTATTAAATGCATGTTGAGTCATGCGGTCAGTTTCACTGCCAATGTAACCTTCTACAAAAAAAACAGTACTGCTCAGAATCTGCTAGTTTCTATAAAATATTTATTATAACACTTCAACGAAAAAGTTTTTGTCACCTTTAACAAAATATACATTTCCACATTTATTCAAAAATGTCTATCAAGACCCGTAAGTTTCGTATAAAATTAGGAAAAGAAATTATAGAAAAAAAATTAAATAATATGTGAAATGTCACGCTCACATTTTGGAGGGAAAATTTATGGCATTCTAAGAGTTAAAATTTACAAGTAGAATCTCATTTTGTATATCTGATTCAAAAATAATCAGAGAAAATTACAAAATATTGACGCAGTCAAATAGTCTGGCTTTAGGAGTAGTGCTCAACCTATTACGTTCAATGCACATAGCACAAGTCCACATAGCATACATTGCATCACTGACAATCTTCTTGCAGATTTGATAATTTTTATCTCCAGAGATTTGAAGTAACCAATTTTAGATTCAGTGCATCAGTGAGAATTGTGGAGAACTATACATAATTTGATTGAAGTCATACTGAAAGAAATATCTATTAAAGATTCCTAGAAATTCTACCACAAATATTCTCCTTTACGATCAATTTTTTCCATGAAGTTGATTTTAACATATATACTGCAAACTGCTTTAATTTTGCGAGAGAATTTTTTTGTGAATTTATGAGTCAGTGAAAATTTCTCTGCAGACACTCCACAAAGAGTGTCAGTGACTTTAGCGAAATTTAGACTTCACAAATGTCATACGATATTGAAATTGTGAAAAAAAAAAAAAAAACGGCTTACAGTATCATTATATCCTTCTTACCATTGCTTTGATTCCTTCAGGATATAGAAATCTATTGTATATAGTATCCACTGTATCATTGGGTTCAATATCACACTCTTTTTGTAGTAAAATAGGACCAGTATCCAAACCATCATCTGCCCAGAATATCGTGAAGCCACCTTTTTTGTCACCACACATTAGAGTCCTAATAAACAAAATATATAATCAAATGATGAAACACAACAATGTGCCATAGTAATCCGTCATTTGAGCATATATACAGCTAAAAATGAAGAAGGAGAACATGAGGGGCAAGGTTAGTATTAGAATTATGAGGGGGTTTCTAAGGAACTTTTACTGTGAAGTTTCTTTGAATAAAAAAACCTGTGCATTTTCAAGAATTAATCTGTATTCTATCAAGAATGTGACCAATATGCAAATTAGATTATACTCTCTGGATATACTGATTTAGCAATAATGAAAGAAATCATAAAATATGATCTACTCACAAAACACAGTGATTCTCCCTCCCCAAATGTGTATTAAATGTTCAAAATTTTGTTTCAAAATCTATCATTACATCTCAGAGAAATCACTGTGCACATCACCCACCCAGCAACAGGTTTTTATTTTGGATGTTGCTAATAGGAAACAATATGATATTTGCATAATCAGTGAATCAGTGTTTCTATTTGCAATGATGAGAATACATTCATGCCGATATATATGTGCCTAAGGTAAATTTGTGATAGCTCTGCTGTACTTTCTAAAAATCTGAATGAAAATTACATCAATTACATGTAACCATGGTAAGATGGGCAAACATTTCATTTCAGATAAAAATTCACCAAAAAAATATGGAATATAGACAAATGTGATAGGAAATCAGTCTGGCTTAGGTCTTTTATAAAGTCAAATAACATGAATATTTATCATTAATAGGAAACAACAGACACTGTCATAAAATGAGTTATTCAAAGTGAGGGCACATGTACCCAAGCATAGCAACGAAATCTAAACAGTGCTTTTTCAAGAAAAAGTTAGTGAGATTTTCAATCCAAAATCACCAAAAATTTCAGACAATAATTCTCACAAAATGAATGCATGCATTTAGTCAACCCATGCCACCTACACAAAAAATATCAGAGAAATCTGAACAGCGATTTTCAAGAAGAAGCAATTTTTAGCTTTCCATCAGCTCATACAAAATGTAACAGAATTAAAAACCAAAGAGAGTAGAAGAATTGTCAATGCATCTTATAATGATTAATGCACTGCTGTAGTCTAAACATTATGGGAGAAAAAAAATATTAAAATCATTTTCTGATTTACGTCATCATCCAATGACAAGTACCGGTATGTTTCTGTGTAAATATTTCCACAAGATGATAGACAAGAAGTTAATGGCGTATTTTGAAAACATTCAAGTATGGAAGTGAGTATGATAATAGTGAATAGGAATTCTGACAGAATACTAATTGGATGCCCCATTAGGGAACCATTAAAATCATTTAAGTATGATACTTTGACAGTAAGTAGGCATTTACACTGTACTAGAATATTTACTGGAGTAACTAAACATAACCACTTTAGTCATGGAAATAAGTAGGGCGGTCAATGCCATTCGCAAGAACGCAGAAATGCAATTGTAAATTTGAAAGAAAAAAGACAAGAAAAGAGGTGTGGGCAAAAGGTATGCAGTAATTTTTAAAATTTAAAAAAAAAAGCTTTTAAAACCTTCCTTTAAATGAATGCTGATCTGTTACTGCAAGACTAAAATGCATAGGGTTTCAATTACATTTGGTGTTAAATTAAGTAAATGTTGAATAAGAATCAGGCAATCATGCCAAATATAATAACAAATAACTCATATGTATTCCTAAGTGTTATATATTAATGAAATTACTACTCTATTATATTTAATAACCATATTATGTCCTTTAATCCCTCATCACAAGCAAATCTCAGAATTAAAATAACATGTAAATGTAAAAATACAAAACAGTCAATTTCACACTCAAAATATATTGGTGAATATATGTAGTTAAACAAAAATTAGTTGCTTGGTGAGATAAGTATTTTGTACAAATGTTGGAATTGGATTCTAATAAAATATATTACATGAGAACATATGGAACAGATGTAGAACAGTGGATGATGAAATCTGTCATGTAAATAACAACGCTATTATCCATTAACAGAATATGCATAGATATACACCACAGGGAATTCTGGGAACTATTAATGCTGCATTAAATAAGAATTTCTATTTTAATGTGTTAGTCTAGAGTATTTTGTTAAGCCACAGGTCATTCCTAAGTATTTTAAAATTTACCGGTAAGTTGAATATTGGGAGAAATTGTTGTACTGTAAAATACTTTATTTTCACTTGGAATAAATTTTCGCTGATGGAATGATTCAGTGAAAATAAATTCCAGTGAATATACCTTTTTTCCTATATCATACATTCAATTTGTCAAAAATCAGTGAAAATAAATTCCAGACAAAACACCCAAAAAGTCTTTTCAGCAAAAATTAATTCCAGCTAAAATAAAGTATTCTACAGTATTTATCTTAAATTATGTTTCTGTAACAACCTCTCCCCAACAATAAATTTAATCAGTAGATTTAAGACCAACATAGAAATAATTCAAGTGAAATTCAGCTTAATATGAGGCCTTTGGTACAAGCATCAGTAGCCATGGGTTATAATATTAATGTACAGTATGCACACATAAAGCAATGGAACAGCTGTGATCAAAGTTACAAACAAAGGACACAATTGACAATTACACAAATTTCATGCTCTTTTAATTTCATTTGGCACAATATTTTGTTTGTTTGTTTGTATAAAATGCGTGAGTAGTTCAGAATGTAAATTTTAATGATCACTGCTACAGCCATACATTCCCACCACCCAAGAGTGTTTCCATATTGGAACTCTGCAAATGCAAGCCAACTCTGGTATCGTAAAAAGACTTGATTTTATTTATAATGTAGACATTTGTAAAAGACAGAACATGCAAGTATGTTGGTGATGCCCCTGGTTGTCATAACCTAATTTATTCTGCCAAAATTGTAGGTGCAATATTTTTTATGCATTTTTCTATCATTAATTTGTTCATTTTTCAATGAAATGGTCATAATTGCCAAATTTTGGGAAGATATAAAAAAGATTATTCATTTTTTTGTTTGTGATAAGTAAGGAAAGTTAAATTTGGTGTTCAAAGGTTTAACCAATACATGACTTTATAGCATAAACTGAGCCACACTGATCCTAATCACATGCGAGTGGAGCAGGTGTGTATACAAGGATGATTAGATCTAACACTAAATGTACACTGATTACTTCTAGTGACTTTAATTATTATACACCCAAATTCTCTCATACAGTAAATTGAATATTAGATTTTGTTTGACATTTTGACACAATCATGGAAGATTCGGTTTGACCCTTGACCTCACCACATGACTGATGTGTTAGGAAATCAAGATTAAATTTTGATATCATTTTGGAGAACAATACATTTATCACTATTTACAAAAAGCTTAATCTATACCATCATAGACACTCACAAGACACAGTATTTGATAGAACCATACTCATATCACTATACAACTTTGGTGACATTATAGTTCCAAGAAGAAGATAATCCATACTGTAAAGTATTTTATTTTTGCTGAAAGTACTTTATTTCCTATATTTTACATTCAACTCATGAAAAAAAAAATCAGCAAAAATAGACTTAATATAATTTGAATTACACTGTAGTATTAAATATAGACATTACAGGCAGAGAGGGGAGAGGGGATATCGGTAAATAAGCAGGGGTTAGGTATAGATACATGGTTGCTATGCATAAATACAACAACGTATAAGTTAGAAGATTGGATTCAATCAAATGTGCATTATACTCATCAGCGTTATCCAGCCAAAGCATTGGGTATCTACTAATTTGCATAACAATATTGTATGTTAATCACCTACATTGTATTGTTAAGTTAAATTCACAGTTTGAACCACTACTCTATGATGCACCTGTGGGGAAACCCTGCTCACTGTACCCAAACATTCAATCAAATTGAATCTAGGAGTCAACCATTTTATATATTGGGGGGGGGGGGGGTTGTAAGTAACATGTAATGATGATACATGCACCATATTTTTTCTGTTAAAGGCGCTTTCAGTTATAACGTATTTATAAAGTTCAATGTGAGTAAATAATCTCAATGTAAGTTTGGATGTATTCCCTGTCAAACAGCCTGAAATTCAACTGAGTCACCTTGCACTGACACAAGTAGGAAGAGAGTTAATATAAAATACTTTTAGCTGGAATTAATTTTCACTAAAAAGACATTTTGGCCATTTTGTATAAAGTTTATTTGCACTGATTTTTAGTGAGTTGAATGTAAAATATAGGAAAAAGGGCAATTTACAGGATTTTATTTCACCGATTGATTAGTGAAAATAGCAAAAATAAAGTACTTTCCAGCAGCAGGGGTGAAAAATATATGCATCTGTGACATTTGAATGCTTCTTGAAATATGCTCGCACATTTCTGAGATAGTGCTGCGCCCAGTACAACAAATCAATAGACCAAACACATCAATTAAAGTCTGCGCTCAGTAATAAGCGACAAAAAACAGACATATTTACGAATAGTATTTTGTACATTCGTGATCCACTTACCAATTGATTGCTGAGGCGCCACGATGTCTTGGCAAAATTGACGGATGGTATATAATGGAGCCATGTTTTGGATGATCAATAACACTCATTGGAATAAACTGACTGCAGAATGGAAGCACATTTAACTCTGCTCCGCATGCCTTGAATTCTTCAACAACTTCAGGGATTTCTTTTCCTTTAACTCTCCAGCGTGGATATTTGTATACTTTGACACCATCGTTATGAGCAGCAACAGCTAAAAAATAAATATAATAATTTGTTTATTAATAATTATTGCATTCAGTAATAGCTTTGTTTATTAGTATTTATTTGATGGTAAATATAATTTCAATCTAGCTAATGTCTAATTGACGCCTCTAAGGTCACTGTAAAATACTTTATTCAGCTGGAATTAATTTTTTGCTGAAAAGTATTTTTGGGTGAAGCAACCAATCAAACTCATTTCACTGAAGTCTTTCAATGGAGTCCTTAACTCAATATATATTAAATATTACTTATTTTGATCATAGATACACTACTGTTATTTACATAAGTACAGATGTTACTAATAGTTCAAATACAGTAGTCATAATAACTACGGTAATCACTATTTCATGCTTTCCATTCCATCCACAGCTCAAAGTCATTTCTAACTTAACAGTCCATTTACCACTAGTTTTACAATAACCATTAGTGGAATCTCACTATTGTAAAATATTATTAAAATATTTATTTTTGTTTGAAATTAATTTTTGCTATCTTCGCTGCAGGAATGATTCAGTGAAAATAAAATCCAGTGAATATACCTTTTTTTCCTATATTTTACATACATTCAACTCATAATGAAACAAGTGAAAATAAATTCTATAAAAAAACACTCGAAAAGTCTTTTCAGCGAAAATTAATTCAAGCTAAAAAATAAATTATTTTACATTATGTCAAGTCTCTCTGAACTAATCACTATGAATAAATTACACCTACAAATTCTAACAAGAACAATTGCAAGCATGAAGGTCAGTCCATCCAGCAATAACCAAGTATGTAGAGAAGAGAGAATACAGTGATGTTGCAACAATAGATTATTCACAGCTCATTTAATATACCCAACAGACCCATTAATACAATATGATGCCATAAAAATGTCATATGGAAATGAACGTTTCTTTATGTGATTCAATATATTATTAATTTAAATTAAGCATTACATGACAGTCACACTCTAACATAGAAATCCATTACTGGCACACACTGGACAGAAGGAAAGCATTTAAATACCGGTATATACTCTAAAAATTAAATAAACTTTAAGACACTTACGCATTATTATTTAATACAATTTCCACTATTAATGTAGTTTTGCAAATATTTTCTATTGGTCTGTAGTTTAGGATAAAAGTTTTAGCACCGAGAAGGTTACATAATAATAGGTGAACACAAACAGAAAGCAACAGTTTCATATATACGGCAATAGCATGTCGTTGTTTACAAACAAGCGTCTACCCATGAACCTTTACATTTTCAGCATGCATTGATATTGTCGCTTTGGACTCAATTCCTGCCTGTGCACATATGCCAACCCCTTCACCCGCAACTATAAAGCTCATTTCCACTGATATATTTCCCTAAAAAACTATTGGCTGGTTTTGATTTCTGAGAAAAAAATCATTGATGTCTAATGAATTTGTATGTGCCATCTATCTTGGTGCAATAAAAGTATGTTGTTTTATTGTCTAACTTTGTGTATACCGGTATTTCCTTTTTTTTCATCAGAACAAGAAGACCTGCTACATTGTATACATGAATAAATTATAGGGTTCAGACCAATTTTCTCAAAATCTGTCAACTTATAATTTATAAAAGAATTTAATTAGATAGCTGTCAAATTCAAGTCTGCACAGTAATAAGTGTCCCACAATGCCACGATATGAACCCAGGGGTTGACACCCACCCCTTCAATATATGCTTGACAGGATTAAACCTGTTTACAACACGGACCTATCCCACAATGCCATGTGGCAAACCCAAGAATTTCTAATTTGAATAACATGTGATGATCGTACTATGAACTGTGTCTGACCTCTGACCTTTGATTATAACATTAAATGCCAGGTAAATAACAAAACATTATTGACTTATTCAGCTCACTGTGTTCATGAAAAACTAATCATTCACAAACACTAAACAAGCAGCCTGTCGGCTGAGATAGCTCCGCTGTTAGCAATGCACATGGCAATTAAAGAACAGAAGATATCATTAGAAAATGAACAAATCTGAGAGAGGTCCACATGTAGTACCTATATGTATAATATATCAAAGCAATTGGACTTGCGGTTTTCAACAGAAGTCGAAAATATCACTTTTTACCAAAAATTACAAAAATATTCATCAAAATTAGAGAATTAAAGATATGATCATGAAATGAACAAATCTGAGAAAGGTCCACATGTAGTACTATATAAGTAATATCAAAGCAATTGGACTTGCGGTTTTCAACAAGAAGTCGAAAATATCACTTTTTACCAAAAATTACAAAAATATTCACCAAAATTAGAGAATTAAAGATATCATTACAAAATGAACAAATCTGAGAGAGGTCCACATGTAGTACCTATATATGTAATATCAAAGCAATTGCACTTGCGGTTTTCAACAAGAAGTCAAAAATATCACTTTTTACTAAAAATGACAAAAATATTCACCAAAATTAGAGAATTGAAGATATCATCATGAAATGAACAAATCTGAGAGAGGTCTACCCAAGGTACATATACACCAAGTATCAAAGCATTCAGGCTTGTAGTTTTCAAGAAGAAGTCGAAAAAGTAAAACATTGACACGGACGACGGACAATCACTCATATGATAAGCTTCGCTCGACAAAGTCGACAGCGGAGCTAAAAAAGGAAATCCCAAAAAAATATTATTTTTTTTCATGACAACAGATGAATAAGCTAAGGAATGGCAACAGTTTATATTCTGCATTGTTGCCAAGTAACAGTTTACTTGTATTCCTCTGTGATATCGACAACTAATCTATCTTAGTTCTAAACCTCTGCCATTATATTATATTTAAAAGCATCAACATTTTACAAGAATTATGAGTGTTAAGCACAATGTATGCAAAGTCTAACGATACAATGTTGAAATTAATCCTAAAATAAAATGTATGCATTGCACACATTCTCTTGTTTGTTTTTGGTATTTTTTTCAATAAAATAATATATTATGCGAGTGTATGAATTGAAAAAGCTGCGTTACAGCGAAAGCAGTCTTTCAAAAACAAACAAATGAGTGTATGCAATCTGGCAGGTACCATAGGCAGTAGTTTACAACACAAACACTTTGACTTTGAGTTAAAAATATTTTATTGGCATAAGGGACACTCACTGTGTCCCACCTAAGCTGCACTACACAAGAAAAAGTGAACATAACAATAGCCGTTACAAGTGTGTATACTGCCTGCTCCATCCACCAGCACATATATTAATATGGATTAATATGAATTAAAATAGGTTCAACTGCTTTTCAATAAGTACTATTTGTATATAAATATACATACCAATAAAAAAATGTTCCTCAGGACCACCTCACCCATAATTCCTATCCTAACCCTGCCCCTCCAGTACCCCTCCTTCATCTTAAATGTCTCTTTTTGTCACTTATTAATAATTATTTGGAGGGGCATATTGAATTACATTGGGGAGGGGGGGGGGGCTGGAGTGTTAGGGTTAGAGTTCAGGTTGGGCTGAGGGGAGCCTTAGGGAACTTTTTCCAAAAAAACAATAAATTGATATCACCCACCGCTTTGAACAGTTCAAGTAGATGGACGAGGTGTATTTGTAAAGACAGGGCTTCTTAAAGAAACAAGGCATGAATGGAGCTGAAGCGTGAATGTCATACAAAGGTCAAATATGTCTGGTTGAAATGAGGTCATACTTTGCACAGTGAAATACAAATAAGACTCACCTAATGGATCAGGTTTTCCACCAACATCAGGAACTGTGAACACTCCAACCACTTCATGGCCATTCTTCCGTAAAAGACTATATACTTCCTGACCAAACTGACTTTGACCTATCACAGCTATTTTCATTTTTGACCAAAGTGTCTGCGTATTGAGAAAACAAGCACAGAATGAATTACAGCAAAACTACGACTTTATGAGCAAACAGCTGTATCAAATTAGAATTAGCAAATACGTGAATGCTGACACTACTCAATAAATACAGTGACTGACCCCGGCAGCAGTTCGCTTGACTTTTAAAAATTCTAAATATGGTGGTTGAGTTGGAGGTGTGACCATTAACATAATTTATACAATGAATATTCATAACTTGGTAGATCAGCTGTTGAACGTATGTAAACAGAATAAACGTGGTTTAACTGAAAACAATTATGATTTTTAAGTTAGTTTCAGATAACGAAGTGAAATATTAGTTTCAAAAAATTGATTTTGAATACATGTAAATTGTGTAAATGGTTATACACATTGCAGCCATATTGAATACTTCCAATAATCTGATTGCATTGATAGCATTCATTTGCTGAGTCACTGTTACAATTTGTTAAGAAATTGAAAATGTGTTTTTTATTCAAATTTGAAATGATAATTACATAAAGTTATTCATTAATATTGGTATCCTAAAAACAGCATTTGGGATTATTGCTATCACTTTTGGAATGAGCCAGAGACAGAGAAAACATTGTATTTTATTATTATTTAAACATAAACGACTGAATTTGTGACCCCCTGAATAAATATCCAACCACATTATTCTCGGGGGTGGAACTATGTCACAGAACGTTCTAAACCATGTCCATCCAAGAAAATACAATGTTAAAACTTGGAACAGAGATTAATTTATTATTCGTTAAGATTAACCTTTTCATCACCAGTTCCCTCTTTTCATCACAAATTCACAAAAAATAGTTTATTTAGGGGGGTAGTCTGCACTTTCCTTTGAAAGATTGGGACAAAAATAGCAAAATTTATTTTGAGTAAAAACTGAAAACTGACCCAAATTGTGTTTGTAGGCTCCAAAATTAGGGTTCATTTCCAAAAATATTGAAGAATATAAGAAAAAAGTGTTGACAAATTTGGGAGAGAATAAAGTCTGGTGGTGATAAGGTTAAAGAACCTGATAAACCATTTATTTAAATATTTACATTTAGATATGTTATCATAATAATATCTTTATTACACTATCTGTACTATAACATCAGAGGATACAGTATGGTAATTTTAATAAACACATCAGCATTACAAAAGATAACAGAAAAATGCAGTGCAAGGCCATTTAATCCCAGGTAAATTTATTCATGACTTTAGGCAAGAACAGCTACTAGCAAGCTTATGTACATATTTGTGATGTTTATTGTGATTACATACTAGTCAATTGCAAGATATTTTAAAAACAAATAGAATAAACTAATAATATTAACTTTATTGCAAAATACAATGTTTCTATCAGTTAATAGCAATAAAGATTAGTTGTGATAACTACTACTATACAGGAAAGACAGTTGTTAACGGGATAAAGCAAATGTTACATATTAAATGACATTTTCATTTCCAGATTGAAACGAATTATGAATATAGTTAAAGTGCGGTAGTCGTCGAGATATATGGGTCTCATATAAATAAAGATGGCGACATTGACTGTTGCGCAGATCAACGAGTGCAAACTGACATGTCTCCAAGCTTTAATTGGGTAATTTTCATGTGTTTGGAAGGTATCGAAAGAATCACTGTCGATAATCAGTGCAAGTCGCGCCCAGATCAAACCTCATACTTGTGATTACCATTTGAAGAGCGCATTGGATTGTGGGAAAATCAATGTTTATCAACACAAATGTCGAACATGCTCAGCGCGACGACTACCGCCCTTCAACTATCTACTTATGATTAGGTCCTATTTATATTTTTAAATAGTCGGATATTGGCTTGAGAAAGCAAAACAGATTTATTTGAAATTATGTATGTATGTATACATGTATATGTTTCATTACACAATACCAGATACACTTAATAAAACCAGGTACTATCTGTGTGCTACACAATTACTCAAACTCTATACTCCTGTGATAACATGGCACCAGCCACTTCAGGCTATACTGGATATTTCACATTACATGCCAGAAAACAAAATGAAATAACAGCACGATATTTTATGTTAATTTATTTGATATGTAAACATACATAGCATAGACAATTTATTTTGTAAGGACCACTACATCATATTTAACTGGCTCAGTAAGCAGTACCGGGGCTAAGCTTAGTCTGCAACAATGCTCATTTACAAAAATTACAAATGAGGGCAGTATACATTATTTACACGTAGAAGATCAAAAACCAGTATCGTAAAGATTAGACTAAATTAATATAGGAAGTTATAATGTATTAATTTTGTGAGCAAAGTGAGAAAAAATAAATGCAATCAAAAATTGGTATATGAGTAATGCTTTTTATAATTTCACACACACAACTCTGGTAAAAATTTATTTTTAAACTGCCATTCTTCTTTTTTATTTTTTTTTAAATCAAACTCCTAAAAAAAAGTCGAGACATTTCAACTGATTGACATTATGACCAAAAACATAATTATCATTTTTTTTAAACTTAATACCAATATCCATAGATACCTGAAATTAAATACAATATTTTTAAAGCAAGAATTGTCTGACAAGATATTTATCACAATGGTAAACAAGGAATAAATATTGAAATCAAACAATTAGCCAATAAATATATGCTATCATATTCAACACTCACTTATTATTGATAGTGAGAAGTTTGTCCGTTTAAACAATTACCAAACCGACCAATCAGATTTCTCAAATAAAGTACTCAATTGATCCTCCACAAATTCACTTCATTACAATTCTCAGAAAACTCTATTTAGACGCAAATTGATTTTAGATACTAACGAGTAAATGTGTATCCGGAACAACACGACACAGGAAATGCAATATACCAATTTCAACTGATTTTATTCTTGTTTTAATCTTATGCAGCTATGCATGATCGCTTTGTCTTAAATTGAATGGAATATTTTTACAACAGTCTCTAATGCAATTTTGATGTTCACTGTGAAATCAGGTCAAAGTTACCATGCAAATATTAAATAGAATTCAAAAGGTTAATATCAACAATTGAATCTGGTTTTTCAATATATCTGAAGAAATGAAGTGTTTTTTTTTAATTTAATCTTTAAATATTACAAGTACATTGTATTCTGGCTAAAAATAACCACCATACATGGCCTCTATTTTCTCATTAAATTTACACACAAATAGAATAACTGCTTTCTGATCAATCCAAGTATTCAGCAGCTGAAGGTCAAGGGTCAACCCAATATTTTCAAACTCATTTTAATCTTCATAACATGTCTTGTTTAAAACAAATATTTCGCTTTTTAATTCAATTTATCACCATTTATATTATACATGTACATATATAAATATAAAATGTAACATCTTTTTTTAAGATCGGAGGCAATAGAAAGAAAGACGCAATAGCTACATAACACAATCAATATTGGCAAACTAAATAAACTTTAATTGAGATTTGAAATGAATATTTACTCTACACACTGTTCAAATTGTAATAACTTTTAGGTTTGTGTATGTTGATGGAGAATTCTTCTACAACCTACAGTGTTTCACTTACTATTTCAACAATCTAGAATGCAATAAATACAATTTTGGGTTTATATGCTTATACTAATGCAATTCTATTTTTAGTGTTTTTCTCACATCAGTATATTGCATTTTATTCATAATACTGATCAGGAGACAAATGAAACAAAGATTATTATGATTATTATAAAAGCAAGCTATTCAATCATACAAGTTCAAGTCTGTTAGCCCTGGATCCAAGGCATTGTCAGAATAGGCGTCATAATAGTTGGGTGACTGCTAATTTAATTTAAGTTGAGAAATTTTCAGTGCCACTGATCACTAATAAATTACTTTTAAACCACAAGGGAAGTAGTATTTTCATTGAATTATAATTTTCGCTGATTTATCTCGGAAAGTGAAAATGTAGATACATTGTACTGTGTCTATGTCATCCACTATACAGTTTATTCTTACCTATAGTACTGCATAATAAGTAATCAAGGTGTTAACATCAGCTGTAGATAAAATGTTACAAATACTGTAAAACATGACTTTTTCGCGAGCATGTCTCTTTAGTGAATTTATCGAGAGAACTGATTTGCTAATTCAAGATGCCGCTAATGACTTTATTACAAATTCAAAATGGCCAAGGCTTGGAGATTTGTATACAGGAATCCGGAACATAAAAATCTGGGGCGCTTCCTAATTACAGTTTTTCTTTGTTTTTATGGAGGAGATAATTGCACATTTGTTTTGGCACGCGATCGACAAGTATTGTGAAAACAGGAAATCAACAATGACAAGAGAGATTCGCTAAATCAACATTTCGCTATGACATCATTTTACCACAATTCGCTAAAATTGCATGTCGCTTTTTCAACATGTTTTACAGTAATTTCAATGTTATATCATAATTTTTTCAAGTGAACTGCATTTTTTTTTATAAATATAATCGTGATGATAAAATTTCACTGTGCATTCCAAGTCGTGTTCGATATGGAACTCATAGCGACATACGATATCATTTGTATAAAATAAACTGTAATTTTACCAAATTTGATCACGTGCTGTGCGACCATTAGCCTTTGGATGCATCAAAATATTTTCAAATTTGTCCATGTTCTTACATAATTTCAAGATTATTTTTGGATCAAATGAACATAGTTCTTTTGATCATGATTTTTGAAAAAAAAATTGCCCTTTTTTCTTTTTAATTATTTTTCTTTACAAATTCTAATCTGTTCGTTGATAAAGTCACAGTTTTGCAATGTTTTTAACTTCCGCAATATGGTGTCAGAACTAAGTGGTCTTAACTCTGTCAGTGTATAATGATTAACTATATGAGCTTTACTGGTATCATTGTCATTAGCTCTCTAAGCCCTACATCATCTATTGGCTATTATTAATGATATACTCATTAAATAGATAACCACAACTGATATAAAGTGACAGATAGTTACTATGCAGTAATCTCTAAACTGTGACTTC